ATGTAACCCTTCAAAAGCAACTTGATCATTTGATCATTTTTCACACACATGCCAAGAACATAGAAAGCAAAATATACATGTTAAAAAAAATACATCTCAGGTTAAACAAATTTCTGTGCGCAGTCACGCAACTTTTTTCCATTCTAAATTCAATTGAAGTCATATGTTTCACAACATAAAAAAGATCAACAATTGATTTTGTCACATGTGATAAAACGAATGTCCACTATGCTTAATGCAGGTCATCTATAATGGAGCATATTGGACACTGTTGCAGATCACAAAAACAACCATTTCATTGGCCAGATTTTTGTTGATCTTATTTCCAATTATCACATAAAATCCAATTTTGATTGGTTTGAAGATTATTACACAAATTCTAAAAATAAAAAAACACAGCCGATTAAAAATTTATTCCTGAATAATACAAACAATAATAATATATATAACATGTTAATTTATAAAAAAAAATTTATTTAAAAAATTAAAAAAAAAATAAAAAAACAATTTTAAATCCCCATTTTTCTTAAATAATATTTTTATAACCAATAAATGACTACTAAAAATTTAGGCCCATGCAATGTTTTAAATTGTGGGGCAAAAGATGTTATATTTAGAAGATTCACCAAAGGGAGTTTAAAAAATGCTAAAAATCATGGAAATTAATGATCAACTTTGTCCTAAAAATTACTTATCAATTGTACAATCAAGAAGAAATAAATCAAATAATCAAAAAAGAAAATCACAAGATTTTGAAGATGATAATAATATTATTGAAATTGATGACATTATAGAAGATATTGATACTAATAACACTGAATTCAAATTATCTGAATTGTTAGGAAATTTAATTAATGATAATCAAATAAATCTAGACAATTGGTCAAATATAGATGTTGATGTTCAAGATGATGTGGTATTGTTATCTAGAAATGATTTTGATTGCCTAATGAATAAAATAAAAGAAATGTAAATAAAGGTTAATCAATATGAAAATAATAAAGGATACTTAAATCAATTTGTAATAAATTTGAATTACTATCTTATCTTCTATACATAAGGCAAAGAAACTTAAATTTAGATGTTGAATTGGGTCTAGAGAATTTCAAAAATATGATTGAGCAACATGAGCCAGAGCTAAAAGGTTCTTTTGGTGAGTTGGTTCACATCTTCTTATCATTTTAAAATGAATAAAAATGAATAATTCTAATAAAATGCATAACCTGAATAAATGAATAAAACAAATAATTCAAATAAACAAATAATCCGAATAAATGAATAAAACGAATAGTTCAAATAAAATGAATAAAACAAATAAAACAAATAATTCAAATAATTCAAATAAATGAATAAAACAAATAAACTAAAACGAATAATTCAGATAAAGAATATTAATATTAAAAATGTGTAGTTGAAAAATGGCCTATTCCAAAATTTTTATTGGACATTCTAAATTTTATCAGTGCCTGAATTTTATAATAGGATTTTGCTCCCTGGTCTTCATCATCACCTTGTTTGATGCTAATACCCTTGTTGTGTAATTAATCAAATAAATCATTGGTTATTTAGTCATTTATCAGTCAGAAGTGAAATTGGATTGGTCAGTTCTTTGGATGTAAAAAGAATAATTTTATTATTTGCATTTCAAATTCAAGTATGTTTTAACGATATATAAAGTAAATTACAAAATCAAGAAAATAAGTATGTTTTAAGAATTATTAAAATTCAGAGGTATATTATATTTTAAGTGTATAATTAGGATATCTACATTCCTATTACTGTAAAAATAAGAATGTTTTAATTGTAAAATAAGTATATTCATACATATTTTGCAAATAATTAGTGAATCATCCTTTTTGATTTAAGTATGTTTTGTAAAAATTAAATAGAAAATAAGTAGGAAATAAGTATCTAAACTTTTTGTAGGGATATAGTGGTGACTAACTGAAAATCAAATCTTTTACAAATATTCAAAAATCAATTTATTCAAGGATATTTGAATACAGTTTATTTTGTAACTATTTCAACAGATAATTGGGATGTCCACCAGCAAAAAGGGGGTCTGAGACTATTAAATTGTTCTGTGTTATAAAACAGGTGGGACCGTTCTGGGAACACAAAAATTAACAGGAGGGAACACAAAATTTTAACCCATGCCATTCGTTGAT